TTAAGTCTAGACATAATGAAAGATAAGTACCAGGATGAGCACACAAGCAAGCAATAAGAACAACCAATCAAGAACCCATACAGAAACTCAGCATCGAGCGACGCAACCTCTAGGCATCGGTCGACGCGAAGCGTCTGTATCGAGCGATGCGCCACCCTGGCGTCGATCGACGCGAAACGTCAGCGTTGAGCGACGCACCACCCTAGCGTCGGTCGATGCGACATCCACAGAAACGAGCCTATCCTCTCATGGCTCGAATCCGTCGCGATTTAACGAGTCACCTGCACGATCCCAATCACAGAACACGCGAAAACAACAATCAAACGCATTCATCTATCCCTATGTCCACACAACCCATGATCACGCACTCACCTCGAAGGATCGAAATGAAAAGAATGAATGACGTTCACTAAAACCCTCGTACACGACGAACCACTGGTCCAATTCCGAAACAGGCGACTGTTCTGGAAACTAGACACAAGCTACGCGTTGGTATGCGGATCGCCTCCAGAATCCTTCTGGTTCGATCGAAATTCCCCTCTGAACCCGACTGATCGCAGACAATAATCTGCACAAACCCACCGAGTTCAAACAGCCATAACTCCGTGAATAATCAACCAAAAGACGAACCGTTTTCGCCTATGATACAAGCAGAGATTGAAGAACTTACTCTCCAAAAATCACCCCAATCCGCCACGAAAAGCCCCGCCGTTTGCCCTCTCAAAGATCCGATCAGAAGCTGTTCATACCAGGAACCTCTCAAGAACAAGTCTCTCTCTCTCTCCCAACCTTTCTCTTCTGATATCTGATCCCACAAAACGGCCAGGACCCTTTTCCAGCCTTTTATATCAAACCCTAGGGTTCTCCCTTAACCAACACGCAAACCGTGCGATCAAACCGACTTCCTGGTCTGATTAAAGATGTGCGTCGCTCGACGCAAGCCCCCTGCGTCGCTCGACGCACCACCAAAATACACATTTTTGGTTCACGGGCGTTACATAGAGTATGCTACAGTCACATATAAAGTGCTCTCTCACTCTCTTGTTCATCATGTGAACCAAGCCTTTTTTCGATTGTGTCGAGATTGTTGGTTGGTGTCTTATGAATTGATGCTGCCACAGATGATTTCTTTG